CTTAAAAAGTTTCACCACATTCCCCGCTTCGATCGACCGCCATATTGGATGTCCTTAAAAGCCCAATATGTCCGTCGCGTACGTGCTAAATGTACCGAAAGGTCCAAATTGTCCATTGCGTACATTACTGGTCTTCTGCGTACAAGTTTTTGTCCTATCCGTACATTTGAATCCGGCCCCCAACCCTAACCCTAACCCTAACCCCATACCCTAATCCTAACCCTAACCCCAAACAAAATGGTGGTGTTCCGGTGTTCCGGTGGTGTTCCGGTGTTCCGGTAGTCAGTGTTTTACTACATGCCATTGGCATGCCATGTGTGTTTATATTAAGAAATATGTAAGTAATTTTATATCTTAGACTTTGCTCATGTAATTATTAGTTGTAGACCTGTTGTAGACTAAAGACTAGCGAGTAGTGTAAATGAAATTTATAGAAATAGTTACACTCCGATATATTATATTGTAGTTTACATGTATACGAACAGAGTTTAGAATTACAACAGCTGAGCCTGCTTCCTGGGATAACGTATCATACAGTAAATATATGGTTAGATGTTTCAAATCCATGTAGTGTCTACGTCACTTGTATTAAAATTCGCGTCGTATACTCATTTTCGTTCAGCTTTAAATTCACGCATTCCAATTTCGCGAAACCTTGTTCGCGCAGCTTTAAATTCGCGCAAGTAATTTTCTGTGTTGGTTCCTTTTGGTTTGTTTTAATAATAGAACTATAACAACAAATACTTCAATATTTGTCAAAACAAAATTCATGATCGCAAATTTTAGTACTGCGGGAAATATAATCCGCGCGAAAAGCTTTGCGGTGTAATATTCACTCGTTGTTAGTAAATAATATAATGTAAGACAATACCATGTATATGAACCTATAATATATGGGATGCTAATAAAAATTAGTTATTGTTATTGTATTAGGCAAATGAAAACCATACATTTTGAGGTTTGAACTTTATACGCTTTACTGTTAACCAAGCTCCGCGCGAATTCCTGCAGTATTGCTCGAATTTTAGTACAAAAACATATACAAATAAAGATTTTTCCTAATTGTCGTTGTGCTGCTGTTTCAAGATTATCTACAAATAAACATTTTCCCTATATTAACTTGGAGATCATCTATATACAGTACAGAAAATAATTTTCCTGACTGCCATAAGTTGTCCTGCTGTTTCGGGATGATCTATATATGCTGCTCGGCCAGTAAACATTTTCCCTAACAGTCGCTTGGCCAGTAAACATTTTCCCTAACTGTCGTTGGGCCGCTGTTTCAAGATGATGTACATTTGAAAACTTTCGAACTACTGTTATCTTACTTTTTCAAGATAATCTATTGTTCGAAGTGGTATGTTGATGAATAAATGTTGTAACTTTTGTGCGTTTTTTTCTTATTTTTGTGTGAAAAACAGGCACTTTTCTACAAATTTTAAATCTAATTTCGATGCTCAGAATGCAGGAAATGGTACTTGCGGGCTTCAAATTTCAAAAATTTTCTGGGGGGGCATGCCCCCAAACCCCCCTAGGTAGGGCGTGGCCTTTGGCCACGCATGTTCATTTCATTCAAAATGCTACGGTCAGATTGGGACGCTGAATCCGCTCCTGCGGCAAATGCGTCAAGACTTTTGATCTATGTTATAAAGCTAGCATAATTGCTGGCATATTTATAACTTAGTCTCTATCCAAAAAACAGCCATATTTGAAACATAGTGAACAATTTTGTATGTTTTTAACGCGAAAAATTAAAGTAAATACATTAACAAATTATAGCTTATAATTAGTTGAATTAGCGAAAATTTACTATATTCATGACGCGCTTGTCAGGCGAAAAACACACTGCCCAAAGATTTTATTCTTTATTCTAGTAGATGTGTCATAATATTCAGTAGCTGCATTAGATTGGATACCTGATACCGTTGCACTTTTGAGAAAAAAATTTTCCGCCGGCATACTAACACAAATATTTAATCCGCTGTTTGCAAGACGTTTTTAAAAAATCACAATATTTTGTTTGCTTCAAGTGATCAGGATAATTTTTAGTTTAGGTTTATGCCCAGGCAGGAAGTAATAAAGTATATAAGTTTCAAGAAGTTAGAATAAAAGCGAGAGATGAAAGTGAGATGTAAAAAAGCTCAAATATCACCACGTATAATTGACGTTTTAACTTGTTTTCCAACGCGTCCGGAAATAATAGCGAAAAAATTTAAAAAACTGACTACAATTCCAAAGTCAACGTTTTTTGTTCATTTTATGAATGACTTCTTCCACACAGAAATTATGGAAGAATTCTGTAATCTTACGAAATTCGAGTCGTTGGTTTTTACAGGACTGCCTCTTAAATCCTATCCACTGGTTCCAGCTCGCTGATGACGCAGCCCTAATCACTGGCCAAGAAGCTGAAAACCAGCATCTCTTAAATCGTTTTTCCATCTGGTGCCAATGGTCCAATATGATTATCAGAGTCGATAAATGAAGTACCTTTGGCATCAAGAAAGCCATCACAAAATCAGTCCAATACTTGCCGAAACTCCTCGTCAACAATAATCTGATACCAACAATAAAGATTGGAGAAGCATTTCAATATTTAGGACGTTACTTTGAATGTAACATGTCGAATACTAACCATAAGCAGGGGCGCCGGAAGCAATCTAGGGCAGGGGGGGCAGCTTCTCAAAAAAGGCCAATTTGTTTTACTGGCAAACAAGCAAAAAAAGCTTAAATTTAGAAAACCGCCTGTCTCTTTATTAAATCTATAATTGAAAAATGGACTCTCATATGGAACTCAACGTGTTGTGCAGTTGTGATTTCGGTGATATTATATTTAATTACTTTTATAAGAACAAAATACGAACATGTGCTAAAATATTAATGAAAATATGAAATTATATGTACAAACAGTAACATACTACTGATTTAGAGTTGACGCCGCCTTTGTTCGCCAAACTGACGCCGCCTTTGTTCGTTTAACGTTCAAACACTTTAGCAGTGCTTTTGCTATGTACTGCGTCAATACGTCCCTTGTGAATAGCAGCGAACATTCTTGATTATTTAGGCTGTTCTCGGACATGGTAGATCTGAGCCACGACTTGACACGGCGCATAACGCTAAAACTTCTTTCTGCTGTAGCGGAACTAATTGGAACTAATTATTTTCAGTTTTGTCTTATGTTTTATTACGCATGCCTATTCGATCTACAATGAAAGGTGACAGCTTTTCGAGCGCGCACACTTGGAGGAAATGTTTATTCGTGACTGAAGTTAATTATTCAACATGTTGAATATTCGGTGCCGATGGCACGCGTGGATGAAATCGCTCAAAACGCCACCGCACACTGCAGGAACTTGCTTACGCCAAGTGACGTTCAGCTCAGCTGGTAAAATAATTCAAACTCTACGAGCAAACGACAAAGCTTCCCCCGCTGCCCCCGTCAACAAAGGGCGGGGGGAGGTAGCTGCCCCCGTGGCTCCGGCGCCCCTGACCATAAGACTGAACTAACAACTCTCGTTAATGAACTAATGACTGATATTGACTAAAAGCCACTACACCAAAGTAATAACCTTCTCGTGTACAGTCGTTATGTATTATCCAAATTATCCTGGCATTTCACCATCGCAACACTTTCTAAAACATGTGTTATTGAAAATATTGATCCCGTAGTCAGCCAATACATCCGTAAATGGCACTCTAAATTGTAACAAATTTGGTCAAAGTATTTATCCTCCATCTGCGAAATTTATCCAATGCCAAACAGTTCTTCGAAAAGCTTTAAAACTTTCTCCTAATCAATCAATTAACAAACTGTGGAAATCTACTAATACTCTTACTAATATTCAATACGACTTTTATAACTCAACCAAAGAAGTGCTTAAAGATTTTCGCTCTGAACATGAAGATAAACTTCAAAACCAATTAACTTGTCAGGGATCCTTTTTCTCTAATGTAACAAAGTTCTCCTTTTCGCATTTTAACAAAGTGTGGTCTACTGCTGAATCAAAACTTCCGAACAACATTTATAACTTTACTATACGCTATGTCAATAACTTTCTTTTGACACGTAAGAACCTTAGCAGATGGGGATTCTCTTCAAGTTCAGAATGCTCCTGTATCGGCCCAGAATCATTACTGCACGTGGTTACTGGATGTCAGTATGATCTCGATCGATTTACGTGGAGGCACAATTCAATCCTGAACTTTCTTGCCAATACCTTGCAAACGCAGTTCTGCCCTCTAAGCTGATGTGCCTGGATTCAAAAGTCCGTCAATAATAACTGGTGATACGTATCGCACGGATTTGTTGCTATCATTATCAAATGGCTCTCTTTATGTGGTCGAGCTCACTGTTGGCTATGAGGCAAACCTCGAGAACAACGTTAAACGGAAAAAAAGCCAAATATAGAGAATTAGTAAAGTGAATGGACGAAAGAAAAATGCACCATCTATGTTGACCTAATCAATTTACATGCCTTGATGTTTGTATATCCTGAACTGCGCATCGCGGAAAGTATAGTATAGTAAAACTTTATTTAACCACGCTTCTCTCATCACCCATGGATGATTTTCATGAGGGGCGTCACACAAATTACATTCTAAAAACTAATATAATTTAAATATGAAATAGAATAACACAGAATAACAAATACGTAGATAAAAAAGTTAAAAAACCAAGACTATTCGATGCCTGACTCTGTAGCACACATTATTTTATCAAATTTTTGAAGCTATACTTAAAGATTCTGTTTGCTTTGCCTGCGTAGGTAAACTATTCCATAGAATAGGCCCGCTATATCCAATAGTCTTTTTTAAATATTCAGTACGTGGTTTAGGAACTGAAAGATTTATATCAGCATTTTGATATGATTTACATCAGCATTTTGAAAGCCTTTTTGATATGCTGATGCAGCGCATCCTTCGTAAGTGGAAGGTTTACGCTTGGACATGTTTTCTTGGTAAACAAATGTCATATAGCTTCATTGACATTATACGGACTAGTGGTTTTATCATATAACAAAACGACATAACGCTCAACAGCATTGAAAAGGTCTTCGCTCGGGTCGTCTTGATTGCAAAGTGATAACCTAACAAAATTTAAAAGTGAGGGAATATTAACCTTTCCTGTTTTGCCTTATTGTAAAACACAGAAAATGTATTCAAAAACTTAAAGCCTTTAAAGATCTAGCTTGTAAACGTTTCCGTGATTTCAGGAAACGATTTCCAGGTATTCCAGCTTCCCTTTACCACAAAAGGCAGAAACGGTATCACATCCTGTGAAAGCAAACGAAAAGCGCAAACCACCACATAAATTTCGTCCCAGACTAGTTGCATATTCATGAACTGGCAACCAACGCCTGTTTGTTCCAACACCAAATTCGATCCATAGCTTATCAATATCCAGTTGATGGAAAAAGGAAATTGCTATGACTATAACATCAGTGTCCACTGTTCCTATAGCAATTTTACGATGGCCGCAATCAGCAGCATTCTTTACATGAAGAAGTATACGCGTGTCTGCTTCTTCATGGTTGCATGGAGGTAAATTATGATGATCAACATCCCCAACTTCATATTACAATTTCTTCAGTGTCTGTTGCCACGACAACGTCGTCAAAATCTTGAATATTTGGCGAGTTGACAAGATCTTGTGCAAGCAAATGGAACAGTTCGGACTTGTTTTCGTCAACCTGAAGGAATTGCTGTCAGTTTTTCCATACCGGCGTATCTAATTTCACAGCGATTCTTATGCCTTTGTCTCTTCTTTCTCTGGTTTCTGCTTTCAAGCTCTCTTCAGTGTACACGTCAAAAACAACATCAAATCTTGTAATCGTGCCTTCAGAATTTAAGATGAATGGCCAAAATATGTTTTTGCTGTACTCTCCATACGTCTTAGCAGCTGAAGATCTGATCATTTGTACAACAGCAACCCTATCAAACACTTTTGCTGTCAAATGAAAACTTTGACAGTGAAAAAGTTGATCAGGATGGGATTTTTTTGTTATGAAGATATATAGAGAGCGAAGCGGCGTGCATAGTTCGCTTTCATATTCGAAATCTATAGTCTCACTTCTAAAATCACTTCTAAATCACAGTTATTGGAGTCGCGATATAGACAGTTCAAAATCACTTCTAAGGGATAATACATTGACCTAAAATGAGCAATTGCTTCGAATTACAAAAGAACAAACTCATCTGGAATGGCGACGTAAGCGAATTAAAGTCCTACGTCGCAGAAAAGTTAAACATAAATGGTAAATGGAAATCACCATCAGGTGGACGCTGGTTATTTACTAGCGATGCTTAATTTGTCTATAACCTGCAGGTATTGTAAAAGCAAAACTGTCTTATTTCAAGGTCCTCGTGGCAGCGAAGTGGCTGACTCTTTGAAGAAAAATATCGATGCATCGCGAATTGCAATAGTGAAAGATGCCGAGCTAAACATTGCTACCCCTGCTGTTTCCGAAAGACGGAATGAATCTATCGATAACCAGTATAGTCTCAGTGTTAACAATTCTAACTCGAACATGTTTGATAGATCTAGTAATACCACAACAACTATCAACCGAAGCGACTCGGATGCTAGCGAAGGAAAAGCAAATGAGCAAGAAATGTGTTCACACAAGCAGAACGAAGGCGATTATATAATGAATTGCAAAGACTGTAGTAAATTATCTGTAGAAGTAGCAGAAATTAAATTGGACTTGCTGAAGCTCCCGCTACATGTGAATGCAATCGGCTACGAAACGAAAATCAGCTATTGAAACAAGAAATTAAATTACTCAAGGAAACGCTGCACGGCATGGAATTGTCAAAATCGCCAATTAACATCGCTATCGATAATATGAATAATCAACCAACCATCACTGACAATGACTCTGTTGTACTAATTGATATAGAAGAATCTGAAGTTAACGTAAACACTAATATGAATAATTTACCATCTGCGACAGACAAAGAGAAACAATATAATACCCGAGGGTCAGTTGTTAATGACTCTCTTATGAAATATAGATATCCCAATAAACCAGTCGTCCAAGACTCCCTGACCTCATTCGACCATCTCCTAAAAGAAAAGGCCGCCTTAAACGCCAACATGCATCGTCATAAGAGGAATCAAGTGCATAGTTCTCGAACTAACAGAACGCATTTCTCGAAACCTAATTACCGGCGCAATCAGTTTTACGATGCTAAACATCAATATCGTCAAGCAAATTTTCCCTCAAAGATTTTTCGAAGCGGTCGCTATCGGAGGATTCCGAAACCAAGAACAACAGCAGACAATACAGATACAAGAGCAAGTCAAATCAACCCGGCATACAAAGTGAATCCTTTCCAATCAAAGTCAGAGTTGCAGCTTGGAGAAACGGAGTCCTGGGAAGCTTAGCTACAGCTGGTCAACCGCACCTTGGACCAGTTTGGAACCCTCGTTTAGGCGCAATCCAACGAACAAGTGATAATTATACATCTCAGAGAAGTGTAAATTTTAATAATTTAATTAACATTAAGACTAATACAAACCCACCATTGGAAAGTCCTCAGTCCCGTCCTTCCTCTTGTCAAATGTATGCCATATAACAAATAAGGTAGACGAATTAGCTGCTGTTGTATCGATCTATGACCCATCCGTGGTAATGATAACTGAATCTTGGCTAAATGATGATATCGGTGATTCTTCGGTTAAGATCGGTAATAAATACAACATATTTCGTCGCGATAGAAAGTCTCCTGGCGGTGGAGTGATCGCCTACGTGAATAATTGTTTACCAGCAGAGCGTATGACTCACCTCGAAGAAGAAAACAAAGAAGTGATATGGTTGTTGTTAAAACCCCCCAGAACCCCTAGACCTTACAGTACAATCGTTGCTGCTGTTGTGTACTACCCTCCTGGCCAATCCGCCGAACAAGCAATCGATATGAATGAATACTTAACTACTTGTATAGATAGTCTCTTGCGCGAATGTCCTTCATCTGGAATTGTTATAGCTGGGGACTTCAATCAACTAAAATTAAGAGAACTATGTAACAGATTTAATTTAAAAAGATCTGTAACTAAACCGACTAGAGGACACAACATTCTTGATCAAATCTTTACAAATATGCTCCCTCTCTTTGACACTGTTAGCCATCTCCCCCCAGTCGGACGCTCCGACCACCAATGTCTTCTAATCAAGCCCATTAAAAGACAGAAAACTCCGGTTACGTCAAAAAAACTAGATTGATGAAACGAGTAAATTTAAATGACCTCTCCCTGATCCACCGTTACACGAATGTCGCCTTTGTGACCCACCCACATAAGAATAACAAACCACCCCTTCTTTCTATTGGCCAAGTTAAAGCGGTCTTAAAACATCTTAATTCAAGAAAAGCAACTGGCATTGATAAGGTCCCTGCATGGATGCTCAAACAATACCACGAAGACCTAGCTGCTGTGGTTTATGACATTGTGTGCTGTAGTATAAGTCAATGTTGTTATCCATCACTCTACAAACATGCCCTAATTTCCCCTGTTCCTAAAGTGCAACCACCGAGAGACATTAACAATGATTTCCGCCAGATATCAGTCTTACCCCATCTTGCCAAGATCCTGGAAAAGATCCAGCTCCAGTTAAATATTGAAGATCTGAAAATTAAGAATAACCAGCACGCGTTTACTCAACATCGAACTCTGCGTTAATATCATCTGCCCAAACCTGGTTTAATGCCACTGATTGTTCAAAAACAGGCAACATGGGGGTTCATGCGGCCCTCACTGACTTTCGTAAGGGCTTCGACCTTGTGGATCACAATATTCTTTTGAACAAATTAGCAGCTATGAACATAAATAAACCCTTCTGGTTATGGATTAAAAGTTTCCTTTCCGGAAGAGTTCAACAAGTAAATCTCAATGGTACCTTATCATCCATTGCAACATGCCCGGCCGGAGTCCCGCAAGGCTCTGTAATATCTCCCATTCTTTTTAATACCTACATTGATGATTTGGAGGACGCCTTACCAGAACAACTAAAAGTCAGTACGAATAAGTATGCAGATGACTGCACACAACACCAAATAGTGAGCGTTGATTCTAATAGTAATTTACAGCGGTCTATCAGTGAAGTAAATAACTGGGCGGTGTTAAATAAAATGGCAATTAATGCTAAAAAAACTAAGGACATGTGGATCTCTTTCACGGACGCTATACCTGAACCACCACGTCTTCGTATTGGAAATGAGTTAATAGAAAGGGTCAAACGCTTTTAAATTACTTGGCGTGTCGTTCCAAAAAATCTAAAATGGAACGCACATGTTGAAGAGATTACACGTAAAGCAAATAAACGCCTTTACCATCTTAGAGAATGCAGGAAATCGCAGTTACCAGCTGAAGTCGGTATTATTACCTATCAATCCAAAATAAGACCAATTCTCTAGTGTGCATCACCTGTCTGGGCGGGACTCCCTAATTACCTGCGAGATGAAATAGAGCGGGTTCAATCGAGGAGCTTAAGAATCCTTGGCCTGGAAAAAGATTACCTACCACCGTTGAACGAAAGAAGGGAAGAGGCAACTAGTCGAGAAGTTGATAGGTTTATGAACGATCCAAACCATCCCTGTCGCAGTGTTTTGCCAAAATTAATTAACAATCAGTACAATTTAAGGAACATTGACCGGAATCGCAATATATCATTCTTATCAGGAACTGAAAGGCATAAACATTCTTTTTCAGAAAGACCTTGTAAATATGTATAAATAGTTTTAACTTATTAGAAGAACTTATTAGATTAAAGAACTTATTAGTTTTAACTTCTTAGTCAGTTTTCTAAATTATCTTACAACAATTTGTAATATAAAGACATATCCACAGCATATATACTTTCTTAAACAAGTAACTGTACGTCCATTGTACTTTTTAATCTTAATATGGATGAATAAAGCTATTATTATTATTATTATTATTATTAAGTCTGCATGGGGAGTTTCTGTCGTTTTCCTGCAAGTTCAAGGATGCTAACTGAGTCAGACTTTGTACATTTTTGCAACTTTCCTTACTGAGAAATTGACGGAGGATAAGAGTGGTTTTCATGGGCAAAGAAGTCAGCAAGATCACCATTTTTTTAGACTTTCAGATGCTGATACGGTGTCCTTTATACGGAAGAGGGGTAGGCTGTTTTTGGGAATGGTAAGATAGATTGATTTTTCACATGTAATAAGTCTTTCACGGACATATTCTTTGTACTGTTCAATTCCGATGTTCCTCGCATTTTTTGCAGACTCAACAGTGTCTAGTGTCCGCTCTTGCAGGTTATGGAATGAGTGTTTCTTATGACAGAGTACAAAATATCGAGCTTTCTGTGACAAAGCAGCGTTGCAAAGTGTTTCAGGAAAAGGGAGTTGTTTGTCCACCTACGCTTAGGAATGGCATATTCACGACCGCTGCTATAAATAACATAGACCACAATCCTTCATCAACGACAGCCACAGAAGCCTTTCACGGTACCAGTATATCCATATTTGAGCATCCAGAGGCGGAACATCCTGAACTAGACCTCCTTTTTGATGAGGGAATCAAGAAGATTAATGTTCCAATAGAATAGCCAGAAACTTACACAACAATTTTTCCTGCAAAAACACTTCCCTCGCAATATTCACTCCAACAGGTTTGTGCGCAAGGTGTAACTAGTAACGATCAGTCAAAATTATTTACAGCAAATGAGTGGCTTGGAAATATTAGCAGTTTCAATAACGCCGGAGGGATGGAGACTCCCGATGTAAACGAACGGATTTCGTGGTCAGCATTTCACGCGAGACGAGAACAGCCATCTGTAGTTCAGCAAAAGTTAACGTCTACTCTTTTGTCCTTACTGAGAGAGTCCGTGGCATCAACAGCTGTGGTACACCATACAATGAATATTATTAATCTCGTCCTTTAAGGAGTTAATCCTGGACAAGTCTCTGTTTTAACTGGGAATCAGCCAGTTTATGCAATTGGCAAACAGGTGTAGTGGCATTATCCCAACAATTACGGCGAGGACAAGTTGATTATGATGATGGGCTCGCTACATATTGAAAAAAACTTTCTCTTTGCAATTGGTGACTAGCTTGAAGGAAGTGGTTTGGTTGAACTGCTTACTAAATCTTCCAACAACACCCCAGGAAGAGCTAAGTGCATGCTTGGAAGAAATCAGGTTAAAAGATCCCGATATGTCCACCAAGTATCGTGTGCTGCTTTCTACCTTCTCTTATCTGAAGCATACGTTGAATCTGCAGACCAATATATGTCTTTTCATCAGTGGGTAGAAGACAGGCGTCGCTTATTTGTTTAATTCCACTACTGGTTAATCGTCATTGAGCTGGAAGCGTTGCTGCTAATGTTTGTGCGAAGCCTTAGGGAATCAAATTTCTAAATGTTTATGAATGCCCTTGATGAAATCGCTCCTTGGATGTTTGCTCTAGATCACACGCATTATTCCAGGTGGTTGCCAATTTTATTAAAGATACGAAAATGCTTGAAATAAAGCATCCAAATATCTACAACGAATTCCAGAAAGGTCATTTTACTTACAAAAAAACGGACAGACCATTTTCTAGTATGGCAGAGGATCAAGCACATGAGCAGATATGAAGACTGACGGAGGAACGGTGAGTATCCTCGACAATGAGAGCTCCTCGATGAAATGGATGATCGGTGGCCCGGAAATTGCGCGCTTAGTGAAAGATTTCAACAGAAAAGAAGAAGAAAACGAAGTAGAGAAAAGACACCATGAAGACATCGGTCCTTTCGATACTTTCTTGTGAAGCATTGTATTCAGCTAATCTATTAGATACCAACGTCTTTATTTCCCTGAGCTTAAAAACAAGCGTGATATCTTCTGATGATGTAATGCATTCCCTTATGTATTCTACAACTTCAGTCACGACTATAACGTAAAGAATGTCGTTTTCAAAATCTGCTAGTAGCGGCGAACATGTCACACGAAGCTTGTTATAGAGAGCTATAAAACAACTTTTATGGTATCGTGCTTCGATTGCCACAATATCTCCTTCACTTAATTTAGCGAGAAGCTTTTCATCTGATAGCCTTGTCGCTGCATTTCTCACTCTCGTATCTAAGCCAAGAGTCCGTGCATTACACAGATTTCCAGCAGTTTCGGCTTCGTCACAGAAAAAGCAAGTAGGGATAAAATTTTGGCGACAAATTTTGAACGTGTACTTCAAGTTAGCAAACTTTCTTCAGAAAATCCTTCTTTTGCATGCACGCTCATAGTGATAGTTGTCATAACTATTTTGACATGATTTGTGGAATTTAGCCTTATTTTGAATCAAATCCTGAAGTACGTTTTCTCTGTCAATTCTTACCTTCAATCAAAGCAAATAGTTTTCCAATGGCCTTGAAAGTTTTCAAATTATCAATTACAGTCGAATAACCGCGAGTTCCATTATCTGACGTGCTGGTGGCTGGACATATTAATGGACTTGTTGAAGATTCCTCTTGGCATATAAAGCACAAATCCCAAATGATTACTTGGTCAACTTTAACTTGGAAAGTATGGAAATTTTCCGATGCAACAAAAAACAATTGACGACTTGCAATCTACATTGTATAAAGCTCAGATATTATTCAAAGCAATTTTATGGCTGTTTGGTGCGAGGTTTTGCATTGTTCATTATCATATGATATCTTCTTTTAATTACATGTTCTCATTATTTTTCTATTTTAAGAACACCGTAATATAATACTATTAAATGCCTTCTATTGTCCCCGAGCCGACGGCGCGGAGGCTCTTAATCTGGCCAGTACTAGGTAGAGGGGGAGGATAGTTTTTGAGAAGTGACTCAACTTCATCTAATTGGTGAATATTTGTTGTAATTAGGTCTTTCCATGGTTCAGTAAAGGATATTTGAAATTTTTCTGCTAAAGCGGCCTCGCTACCCATGGAGTTTACTGTTAGGCCTTCATGCGGACTATTTACTCAGGACAGATTATAAATTGCTTTGTACCATTTCGCAGGGTCAGATGTGCGGAATGTTTTAGCTTTGGTGGTAATGGTAATGTTAATGTTAATGGTGGTAATGGTTTATTAAATAACTCTTTGCAGAACATTTACATCTGAATTACGAGTTACGTACATGATTAAAAAATAGATTATGTTATAAAACCTAAATTATATACAAATATGTAATTATTAAAAGGATATATATATATATATATATATATATATATATATATATATATATATATATATATATATATATATATATATATATATATATATATATATATAATAGATATCTTATATACACTAGATAGTGCATCTAATTATTCTGCAATTCAAAAGTTGAAGCCGTGATTGCAAACTCAGGTCGTTCCCATGAAATGAGAAGATTCGTATGTTTTCTATTTCTTAAACAGGGAACTTAAACATTAAGTTAACCCTATTCCAAATACGTTTTTAAACTATCCAAATAATGAAAGTTATTTTTTGTTTTTGAGCGTTTATTAGCAAGTGGGAATGACCAACATGGCCGCCACCTATTCAAATGGGGGTAACCGCTGGAATATTCTTGGCTTCAATTTTACTAAATGAGATGCGCTATCTAGTGTATATAAGATAAGATATCTATGATATATATGTATTATTCAGAATTAATTTGTTACAAATTGGCTTAAACGGTTAGTTCTTATCGATTGTATGGACATTTTTTAATCTGCTTGACAGCGATCGTTATGAATACGAATGGGTGATGGTAGGTTCGTAATTAGCGTTAATGATCTTAGACAACGCAGAGCTTGACTTTCGGTGTTGAGCCATGAAGATTCACAAATACGATCTATGCGATTAGATAACTGTAGCAGGTTAGAGGACTCTAACACCTGTATTCAAAAAGCTCATTCACACTCACACTCAATGAGTGGACACACAATCTTAATGAGTACAACTCACCACTCAATGAGTGTCCACTCACACTCAAATAGCATAAAGTGACACTCACACTCGAACTATTCAAAGACACCACTCACACTCAAGTGAAGCTCCATTTTGAGTAAAGTGTGAGTGAGAGGTAGACGTCCCTTGAGCCGCACTCAGCAGTTAGACTCACCTTGTACTTGGTGATTCAAATATGGCGGAAAGGTGGTTAAGAAGGACAATGTCGCAAGAGATAACAGAGGCAGGAGGAGACCATATATATTTGATTACGGGAAATATGACGAGGAGCGGTTTCGATGCAGATACCGGGTAACTACGGCTAGATTGCGAGAGTTACTGGATATAATTAGGCCAGAAAGATCTGCGCACAACGAGCGAGGAAATCCCATTCCCGCAGATATACAACTTTTGTTGACGCTAAGGTTTTACGTCACGGGTACATTCCAGCTAGCATGCATGCGGAGATTTGTGTGAGATTTCGCAGCCATTAGCAAGTCGAATTATAAAGCGAGTATCCGAAGCAATCGCACCGCGCTTAAGGAACAATTACATAACATTTCCTGAAGGTGATATTTTGGATCAACTCAAACTTGATGTTTGGCGAATTCAAGCTGTTTCGCGGGCCAAATTTAGACATTTTAAACCTTGTCGCACGTTGGCCAGGTAGCGTACATGATGCCAGAATATTCGACAATAGTCGCATAATTATGTGCACAGTTTGAACGTGGTGATATCCCGGGTATATTAGGCCTACTTGGTGATAACGGTTATCCATGCCGTCAATATCTAATGACACCAGTAATTGATCGCAAACCCGACCGCAACGCAGATATAATGTTGCACAAATACGTACGTACACGAAACACCGTGGAAAGGATGTTTGCGCCCAGTGATGTATGGAAAAGGCTATTTCCATGCCTTTCAACGACCCTTCGCACAAAATTGCAAACGTCCCTAACTATAATTGTTGCTACAGCTGTGTTGTTCAACTTCATATCGATATGAACCAG